TCAAGCAAGAAGTAGCTCGCCTCACCAAGGACTTGACTCAAGTGAAAGGCAAGACGAAGCAAGCCCAACTTCATCAAGATAACACAGTCAAGGGAGTAAAGAAGCTTGATGAAGGACAAACCGTGGTTTGCTACGTGTGCCACAAGGAAGGTCACAAGTCCTATGAGTGCAAGGTGAAGAATGGGGGAGGAGCAAAAAAGAAAAAGAAGAAGCAAACAATCAAGCTCTCCAACACCTACACCAACAAGGTGGACAAAAAGGCCTCCACACCTTATCTATTGAAGAAGAAGAAAAATGATAAGGTGGTGGCCATCAAGGTGAACAAGCAAGCCAACAATACGATCAAACGCTTTTGGGTGCCAAAGGAGATCATTTCCAATATGAAGAGCACCAAGAAGGTTTGGACCCCGAAAGGGAAGTGAGAAGTCCAATGGACGTTGAGGAATTTGGAGACTTGGCAAAGTATGGGTGCATTTCATGGGGTGCATCATGATGGATAAGATTATCGCCAAGTGGGTTAGTGAATACTATAGACCCAAATTCCCCTTCTCATGTTAGGTAACTAGATTTAATTTCTTCAAGTAGTATCAATTTGCTTTTCCTACAAGTGGCATTTCTTATAAATTGGTATCTTTAAGCATCTAGTTACTTTTTATGCCTATGTTTGCATTTGCATTCTTATATCTTTTGTCATGCATACACTAGGTATATCTTATAGTAGGCTTGCTCGGTTTCATTTTTAACCCTTGGAGCAAACCTACATGGTTTAAAATTGTTTAGGAGCACGGCACATAGCTTGTCTTTTGATTGTTCATCTAATATGTGCCAAAGTCCAAATTGTAGATAATTTCTCCCGAATATCATCTTCAAAAATAATTCTCACATTCATAAGATATCATCTTTCAAGTGGTATTATTGATTCTAAAATCAATGTGCATGACTTCTACAAGTATCCCACACTTGTGTGCATAAATTTAGGGGGAGGTTACTCTACAAGTTGGATGCTTTGAGACTAACATCTTTTCAAGCTTATCATGTGTGTAGTAGTCTCATTGCAAGGAAAATTGAGTCCCCGGAGTTAAGCACCATACTTCAAATATCCACCACCTATTACAAGTGGTAGAAATCAAATTGGTTTCCACATGTGGTATTTCTAAACCGATATCATCATGTTGATTTCGTTTTGATATTTATATGCTTTCTCCATGCATTATATAGATTAAATTCCCTTGAGCAATAATTTGTCAAATATACATATGCCTTGCTTTCTACCATATGTATGCATATATTTCAGGGGAGCTTAATCTATATAATGTGAGAGTCAAATTTTGTGACATATTCCACTCTACACACAAAGGAACACAAAGTTTGACCCTCCCTTGTGCTACTAATGTCTTCCTTTTCGTTGTTTGATTCCAAAGGGGGAGAATTTAGAGGACCAAAAGCAAGCATTAATTTCTAGGACCAAAAGCTAGATCATAATAATCTACAAGTGATAATGGTCTAAGAAAGAGAGGATAGTGGATTATGGATTAGCCTATGTAATGGGGAGAATTTATGGCTTAAATCCATAATACCACATGGGGATTTTTGCAAGGGCAAGATAAGTATTCAAGTGGTATCTTCTAGTCTTACAAGTAGTATCTTTTAGCATCATATAATCTTGCCCCTTGCATTGCATCCTAGCAAGTAGATAGTTTTTAAATTTCAAATTTTTATTATTTGCTTGCTTTGGTCGTGTTGTCATCAATCACCAAAAAGGGGGAGATTGTAAGGAAAATGGACCCTAGGCCCAGTTACTTTGGATTTTAGTATTTGATGATCAACACAACTAAATTGGACTAATAAATTTACAAGTGATTGCTTTGTAGTTCAATAGGGTGCAAGACGTGACTTGGACGAAAGTGACATGATGATCCGATGATCAACACCTTAAGCAAGACCTTAGAAGCATAAAAGAAGATCCAAGACATCGAGCAAAGTCCAAGCATGAAGATAGAAACCAAGCCGTACGCAAGATCGCGAAGAAATGAGCTCACAGAGGTGACCGGACGCTAGAGGAAACAGGCGTCAACAGCAGCGACCGGACGCTGGACCGGACGTTGGCTACAAATCGACCGGACACAGGACAACAGAGTCCGGTCGAGTACAGAGAGGTTCCAGAGCGGCGAGATTGCGACCGGACGCCTTCGGTGGCATGTGGACGCTGGCAGCGTCCGATCAGTTGATCGTGGCTCCAACGGTCGGGACGACCGGCCGCGTCCAATCAGGACGACTTCACCGTCCGGTCAGTAGCAGAAAAGCAGATTCCATCCCCAACAACTACTTTCTCAGTGGGGCTTATAAATACAACCCTCAACCAGCCAAATGAGTTGTGTGGAGCTGAGGAAACATATCAAGGGCATTGATACATCATTTTAGTGATCTCCACTTGCATAGTGCTTAGTGATTCATTAGGTGATTAGTGTAGGTGCTTTGCGAAGTGTTTAGGTTGATTAGACCATCGCTTATGCGCTTGCTCTAGGTTTAGGCCTAGTGTTTAGTGAGGTTTGCATACCTCTTACCACTCGGTGCTTGCGCGCACCATTGTTGTACATCGAGGGGCTTGTAGTCTTGCGAGATCACACCAACCGTGTTTGTGGCGTGGTCGCCACCGTGTACCGGAGGGAACATCGGAAGCTTGATAGTGAAGACGGCGGGGAGCATCCGAAAGAGGCTTGCCGGAAGGCACGTCGGAGACCCACTTGCGCGTGGGGAAAACCCGGGGCTATCCACGGAGTTACCCGACCGGGAGCTTGGCCCTTGCGAGGGATTCCTTGTGAGGGGCTCCAACGAGGACTAGGGGAAGCTTGCGCGCTTCTCGATACCTCGGTAAAAATACTGGAGTCGTCGACAGGAGTTTGCATATCTCTACCTTACTCTTTAAGCTTCCACATTTACATTGATTACATTACTCCTTTTGCGATAGAGATAGCAATACACCAGCAAAACCGTAGTTTCACATTTAGATAGTTTATCTTTTGCATATGTTTTGCTAAGGTTAGAAAAAAGAGGTCATAGTTAAGAGTTAGAATTTTAAGTTGCCTAATTCACCCCCCTCTTAGGCGTCACGGTCCCCTACACCGCTCAGCATGGTGCTGATCACCTTCCGCCCGGCCCACGCTTAGGTTCGGAGAGGTTGTTGCACGCGAGCACCAGAGACCGCAGCGACCCCATGTCTCTGACGGACTCCGGCAGCACACCCTGCAGCGAGCTATTCCGGAGGCATCGATGCTGGACGTCTTGGGCAGCGGAGGCACGCCGGCGCTAGGCCCCATGATGTGGAGCAGCGTCACGCTGTCGCCGTAGCACTCGACGAAGGTGGAGGTGGTCTTGTAGTCCCCGTCGTAGCAGAAGTCAGTGCTGTAACCAGCGGGTAGTTGAGCAGCTGTTGGATATGGAGCAACAACCATGTCTAGGAGGACTGCAGCTGTGTGGACTCGGACACCATTTCTAGCACTAGCAGGCTAGCAGCAATGACAACAAGATGAGCAGAGGATGCCGGCAACCTCCTAGAGCCATTCTTGGACCTTACTTACCCTTGCTAGCCCTAGCTTGTCACAAAGAGGAAGGGGATCCACCTACGTCGGAGCTGAGAAAGATGAAGGGGATGAGATTTCCACTGGTGCTCACGTGGGAAGAAGGGAGGAGCAACGGTGGACTCACGTCGTTAGTTCAAATCGTGACAGAATGGTAGTTTCGGGTAACAGATCGTTTTTTCGGTGGTATTTCACATGGCCGTAATATTTGAGTGATATTTTCCGGATCTTGTGATATTTGGATGCTACGAAACCAATTTCCACCTTTTGTTCTGCATCAGAGCCTCTTGTACAGATTTTAATTAAATTTTCACAAAGCCTATACTGCTGGCTCTCCTTCTAAAAAGAGAAAAACCCGTTTTCTAGCTCTGTCTCAGCCCACGTCATACTGGAACGGTAAGAGCGAATTTATTAAGGAGTAAAATGCTCTGATACTGCTGGCTAGAGGCTAAATCATTCACCCTGTTCGCTGATGTTAAAATTTAGTTTATGCTGACGCTTATGCTGAAATGTTGTGAATGAAAAATATTATTTTATTTTTAAAAGTAGTTCTGAATAAGCTCAGTTGTCCTCGAAGAGTACAAATACAGAATGGACATCTAACCTGCATGGAGACAACGACCAATGATAAAGGCAATTTAAACTGTCTGTACGGAGTAGGATTGCGTACCAACTTATCTGCAATGGATTATTCATGATATTCTTAGAAGGATTATCCATTCCATGACACTAGGTATATTTTGCCAGCGCACTACGGGCACTGTACATACGAACCACCTTATGAAGCGAGATACCAGAGCCATAACGACACCCCAAATCCAGGCGACGCAAACTGATTGTGCGGTCACACCTTGTCCCCCAACTCCCGCCCGGATCTCCATCGCCGTCGCCGCGCACCTCGCTGGCCGCTGCTACTCATCTTTAGCCAAAACAATACTACCGGCTACCGCGGACGACGTGGCCATGATTTCCCAATCCAACAATATCCACTTGATGACTTGAGCCAGTTTCCTTACTGTCCAGAAGCAGAACCATCCACTGATCCACCTGAAAAGCGCGCTATTTTTATACGGCCACCACCAGGTCAGGGTCAGCAAGGCATCCGGCGCCTAGTTCTCCCCTCCGTCGCAACCCCAAGACCCCTCTCCAAGTCTCACCTCCACCTCCACCCCTCTTCCTCTTGTGGCTATCTGAGAGAGCGAACAGAGAGCACCCATGCATGGTCTTGGCCCTTGGGGCTAGACTCCAGCAAGTCGGTTGAATTGAAGAAGAACCAGCCGACCGGCGGTTATCCAACTATCGCTTACCGGATAGAGAAGAAAGGCATCTCCACTCTCCAGGCATTGGAGGCGTAATCGGAGCAAGGTATAGGTACACCCCCTCACCCCCACGCATTGGGCGCGTCGAAATCTTGCAGTTTGGATGGGGGTGGGGGCGTCGAGCGTGGTGGCGCCGGAGGGGTACGGCCGGGGGTGGGGGCAGACGTCGCTGGGCGACATGCCCGAGAGCTGCGTCGCGGCGGTGCTGCTCTACCTCGACCCTGCTGAGATCTGCCAGGTGGCCTGCCTCAACCGGGCGTTCCGGGGCGCGGCCTCCGCCGACTGCATCTGGGCCGCCAAGTTACCCGCCAACTACAGGTACCTCGCCGCACTCGCGGCGGCGGCCGACGACGACGACTGCGGCTGCGATGACGCGGCGGAAGGCAGTGATGGCAGGTGCTGCTCCTCGGCGGCGATCAAGAAGGAGATATACGCGCGCCTCTGCCGGCCCACCCCGTTCGACGGCGGCACCAAGGTAATTTTTTTTTCTTTATAGTCGTTTCCAACAATCAGAATGCTTTTGCTTTTGGTAGAGGATGATTTTAGTGGTGGCTGGGAAAAAATAAGAAGTTGAGTCAGTAGAACCTATTTGTCTTTTTCGCGTTTGCTGCCTTAATAATGTTTGTGTTTGTTCTGCGACTTCTGTTCTATATCTTTTATCTGCGATGGTCTAACTAAAAGCAGTTATTTGCTAGGAATTTTGGATCGAGAAGAACAAGGGAGGTTTCTGCATGTCCATCTCCTCAAAGTCTATGTCGATCACGGGGAGGGATGATCGGCGGTATTGGAGCCACCTATCCACAGAGGAATCAAGGTACTTTGTTTTTGTTTTCATTTTCCCACAGTAAATGTACTCATTAGGAGGTTAAGATCGCATTCCGTGAACCTGTCAGCGTATTGAGAGAATGAAATCATGGAATACTTTTACCGTGCCATGGTTTTATTTGATCTGCTATATTTTGTTATATTGGAAGCTCTTTGTTAATTGCTTGACTTTTGTTATGTTCCTCAATAAGACAATATTTTGTTATATTGGAAGCTCTTTGTTAATTGCTTGACTTTTGTTATATTCCTCAATAAGACAATATATAATCTGATCTTATACTCCTTGTTTTCCGGTGAGCATTTAATGTATTTCTTTTGTTAACGAACTGGTTGAAGATTGCTTTTCCGGGTACATATGTCTTTCTTTCACATACCTACCCAAGAAAGGCCTATGATATATTTTTGTGATGATTGATAGTGTGTTTTCCAAATAGGATGCATGGGGTGTTCAGACTGATTTAGATGTCCTCAGTGGCTCAGTGCTGGACAACTTATCCAAATTGTCAGCAGAAATTGACAAATTAGCAAGCCAGTAAAGTACTTTGAGTGTGATTGATATGCGTAGGACCATGATTTATTTTTTTAGGCCCTGTTAAATGTTACCGAGCCTTTATGCTCCTATGTTATATTTTGTGCCATTGTGCATATATAAAATCCTGAAGCCAATCAGCGTGCTGCATACAACCAAAGTCACTTCAGTGTCATCGGAAAGCCTATATGTGTACTGTTAACTTCAGTCTGATGGCTACTTATGCAAATTGAACATCTATAGTATTTGTTATGATGCGATTTGGTTTATTGTATTTACAAGACCTGCCCGTTGAGTACATTTTGGTCCTTGTCCTGCTCTTGCATGTCATCAGTAAGCAACCCCACCACGTTGCCAGTTCGTATCATCTACCTCGACACCTGAATGATAGCTTTATGGGGTTTCTGTTACTGCAACTCAGAGCATGTGTAGATCCAGTTTATTTGGATTTAAATGTTCAGGACTTGGTTTGGAGTTAAACTGAATGCCAAAACGTACCAAATCAGGCCTCACCTGAGCACCTCATATTGTGAGCTATTTGTTGTACTTGTGCAATAACCCTGATAGTTTTGCTTTCGCATTGAGCTCTCTCAGACATTTTTACAAGTGAAAATTCACCTCACATGTTGTGGACTTGTGTTGTAGCTTGGTCCATCCGTAGCAACAGTTCGAGCTCTATCTTATTTTCATGTTCACCAATTGCTGAACTCACCGCATAACAGATAACTAAAGTGCCATGGTTTTTATTGCAGATTTCACAGTGTTGCCTATCTTCAGCAAATTTGGTGGCTTGAGGTAGGTGGGGAGATTGATTTCTGCTTTCCTGCCGGTTCATACAGCCTATTCTTCCGGCTCCATTTGGGCCGGCCGCACAAGCGGATGGGCCGCCGAGGCCATGGCTCTGAGAATATCCACGGTTGGGACATCAAACCGACACGGTTCCAGCTTTCAACTTCAAACGATCAGCACATTGCATCCGAGTCTTACCTAATTAACCCTGGAAGATGGATCCTTTACCACGTCGGTGATTTCATCATATCGAGTTCAGATGAGGTGACGGAACTCAAGTTCTCTATGATGCAGATTGATTGTACGCATACAAAAGGCGGCCTGTGTGTTGACTCGGTCTGTATATATCCCAAAGATCTCGAATATGAGGAGGACTGCGTATTCTGCCAGAAAATTTTGTAGGGGCGCTTGAATTCCTTGGCTAGCCTATTTCTTCTTTTCGGGCCATTCTTGTCCAAAAGGGTAGCGTTCATATTCTTTTTCTGAGAGTTTTGCATGAACAATTTATTTATTTTTGTAAGGGATTATTCTGTATTTACTTTTCGTAGTGTTAGTCAAATAAGTAGGGAGGTCAGGATGTAGATGTAGGTATATCGATGTATGATTGGAGTGCTTGACACGGGTGTGTAGAAACAGATGCTTCATTACATGTACACAGATCTTGTGTTTATTGGAGACATGTGCTTCCCGAAAGTTTCACTTAATTTTGCCTTTGCGAGTATTTGAGTGTGAAGTTGTCTGCCGATCCGCCTGTGGCATTTCCAGCTTCCATGTCGCTGAATTACGGATTTTTATCATTTCTCAGTGCACGCCGCATAGATTGCAGCTTTCCGGTTTTGGTGGCCCCCTTCAAGAGCAAGTGTTCGTGAGAATTGCTTCTGGGTTCGATGCTTGGTCTGACCAATCCTGTTCGAGTCTCAGGCTTGGAAAATTCATGCGCCACCCCAGCGTCAAGCAGACAAGCGCCCATGGATAGCGCCATAGCGGAGCGTGCGATGCACGACTGCAGTCATCAGCAGGTAAACGCATCTACCCCGGCCTAGCCGGCTGGCCCGGCTCATCGATTTCACGCGTGCGAGCGCCGAGCAGGCGGAGCGGAGACCATGGCCGCTGCCGCTGCGGTCGCTCGGCGGGCCGGTGCCGGTGCGGCGGGGAGCTGCTATGGTCCGGACGGCCAGACCATATCACGGCGCTGATTATTTTCCCGCCCAGCTTCTTTCCCGCGCTCGCACCGGTTACTTTTTCCCGCCCTCGTCGCCCGCGCTCTAGCTTCCGCACGTAGCCAAAATATAGGCCTATAGACGTATAGTCATTACTCCGGACGCATGCTGCATGCATGCAGCTGAACTATGCTGCACTAGCTAGTAGTACTCCGTTCCTCACATCTATAAATGTCCATGGCACGTCGACGCCCGCTTTTTTAGCCCGACATGAGTATGGCACGACCCGGTAACGTACAGGCCTAGGCTGGCCCGACCGAAGGAGCAGGCCATGCCTGGACCGCTGCTCAGACTCGTGGGCTAGCACGGCCCGGCCTCGCCCTGCGTCGATTGGCCCGGCCTCCCCCCCCCTCCCTCCTCACACTTCCTCCCCTCCCCGCGGCCTCCCCTCCTCACTCCTCCTCCCCTCCCCACATAGATATACTAAGATAAAATTTTATTAACAAACATTAATCTTATAAAAATAGAACATTTTCTTTTATTGAGTAGAGACAATGTTCTACGTTCAGAGAACAACCGTCTTTCCAAACATTATAAAATATACTATAGAACATCACATGTATACTAAGTGAATATGACTAACTACACCATAGAACATAACTAAATACATTATAGAACATCGCATATATATTACGTGATCATTAAATACATCATAGATCATCGCATATATATTACGTGAAGATCACTAAGTACATCATAAAACATCACATGTATACTGTGTGAACATTATAAAATAGATCATAGAACATCACATATATACTACATGAACATCACATGTATATTATATTGACATCACAAAATGCATCTAGAACATCACGTATATACTAAAGAACATCATAAAATACATATAGAACATCACATGTGAATTAACACAAAAATGCATCATAAACATCATGTATATACCACGTGAACATTATAGAATATGTCATAGAACATCACATGTATACTACGTAAATGTCATAAAACATATCATGTGAACATCACAAAAAAAACATCATAGAATATCACATGTATACTACGAGAACATCACATAATACATCACAGAACATCATAGTATACTAGGTAAACATGGTATCTCATGGAATATATAATTAAACATGAAAAATAATTAAGTAAGGTAAAATAGAAAAATAGAAAATAGAAGAATCTACAGGAAACATAAGACAAAAGAAAAAAGGAAAAAGGAAGAAATAAAAAACGAATAAAATATAAAAATAAATTAAATAAAACAAACATAATAATTAATTATAGTAAAAACAAAAAATAAATAACATAAATAAAAATATAAAAATGAAAAGAATAATGAAAAATCACATCAAACGAAAAACCAAACAAAAATAAAAAATAAATTGAAGAAAGGAAATAAAAAAAATAAAAAAGGAAAGAAAAGAAAGAAAAAACAAATAAAATAAACATAAAAATGAAAAATGAAGAATAATAAAAAACACATAAAACAAATAAAGAAATATAAATAAAGAATGGAGCACAAAAAGAAAAAAATAGAAAAGAAAATAAAAAGATAAGAAAAGGATGGGAAAAGAAAAGAAAAAGGAAAACATACGTTTGTATTTTGTATAAAGAAAGAAAGAAAGAAAAGATACGTACGTGGACGTTTCGTAGTCGGAAGCGCTCGCTACGTCGCTCGTGCACGTGGGCCGTACGTGGGCCCCGCTGGAAGCCTGGAACGCCGTGATAATTCGCGTATGTGGGCTGCAAGTGGATAATTTTTTACGTGGGCCGTTTTTTCGTTTTTTCCCACCAATTCAAATGAAGACCTAACGTAGAGGTAGGAAAAACAAATTTACGTGGGCCATTTTTTCTAACCATTTGCATGAAACTTCAAAAGCTGTAGTTATCAACCGAAATGCATTAAAAAAAAGGGAGTGACTACAGAACATTCTGTTGATTCTGTGTTATTCTATCAACCAGATTTTGAACCAATAAAAAAAATGACACGTCATAACTAAAACTGAATAAAAAATCTGGATGATATACAAGAAAAAACAACCAGATTCTAATAAAAAAAAGCATAACGAAAAACGATTGAAAAAATAAAACGGCAAACAACCACATCTCAAACAGTACGTGGACCACGTCAGTACCTACCTCTACCAGATGTGATTAGGGATGAAAACGGATCGGATACGAACGGATATCACTCATATTATATTTGTTTTCATATTTCTGTTCGGATTCGGATTCGGACACGGATAGCGTTCGGATACATATACGAATACGGATTGACTCGATTACGGATACTGAATAATGAGTATCGAATACGGTATGAATCGGATTCGGAGAAGGTCTGATACAAATATCTATTCGGATATTGAGTAAAAGCGAAGATATATATATATATATATCATACGCATGCATAAACCATTACACCACTCTATGAGTCCATAATCCATCTAGATTAAGCCGAAAGACTAAAGAGTAAAGCAACAAATAAGATAAAGATACGGATACATCATACATCAAACATCATATAAGCACCAATCTTGCTGCATGAGTAGAAATAGCCAAGCACATTGCTTCATGGGTCTCATGGAGTCATGGTCATGGATTCAAGATCTACAATCCTTATATAGGCCATTTTTTCATTTTGAGAAAGTTTGAACAAAATGTAGTTCAAATTTCACAAGTGTGTGACATAGTTTTAGAAAGTCCATGTATGAGATTTAAGAATTTGTGACTAGTGTTTGATAAAACTTTCTCAAATGGGAAAATGAGCTATGTAACAATTGTATATCTTGCTGAGATGATCAAACTTGGTATTCAGAGTTTTTTCATCTGAGGTCATTTAGTGTCTCATTTGAGCAAGTTTGACCAAGTCAAATTTGGTCAAATGAAAAAACAACACTTTGACTCTAGTATTATGAACTCTAAATGACTTCAAATTGAAAAGTTTTGAATACCAAGTTTGTTCAACTCATCAAGATCTACAATTCTTGTTTTGGTCAACTTTCCATTTGAGATAGTTTGAACGGTTCAAATTTGTGATTTTTAAATTTCGATGCTTATAAACTAGTTTTCGGAACCCTAGATTGTCTCAAATTGAAAAGTTTTGAATACCAAGTTTATTCATCTCATCAAGATCTACAATCCTTATATAGGATATTTTTTCATTTGAGAAAGTTTGAACAAAATGTAGTTCAAATTTCACAAGTGTGTGACATAGTTTCAGAAAGTCTATATGAGATTCAAGAATTTGTGACTAGTGTTTGATAAAACTTTCTCAAATGGGAAAATGAGCTATGTAACAATTGTAGATCTTGCTGAGATAATCAAACTTGATATTCAGAGTTTTTTCATCTGAGGTCATTTAGTGTCTCATTTGAGCAAGTTTGACCAAGTCAAATTTGGTCAAATGAAAAAACAACACTTTGACTCTAGTATTATGAACTCTCAATGACTTCAAATTGAAAAGTTTTGAATACCAAGTTTGTTCAACTCATCAAGATCTACAATTTTTGTTTTGGTCAACTTTCCATTTGAGATATTTTGGACGGTTCAAATTTGTGATTTTTAAATTTCGACGTTTACAAACTAGTTTTCGGAACCCTAGATTGTCTCAAATTGAAAAGTTTTGAATACCAAATTTGTTCATCTCATCAAGATATACAATCCTTACATAGGCCATTTTTTCATTTGAGAAAGTTTGAACAAAATATAGTTCAAATTTCACAAGTGTGTGACATAGTTTCAGAAAGTCTATATGAGATTCAAGAATTTATGACTAGTGTTTGATAAAACTTTCTCAAATGGGAAAATGAGCTATGTAACAATTGTAGATCTTGCTGAGATGATCAAACTTGGTATTCAGAGTTTTTTCATCTGAGGTCATTTAGTGTCTCATTTGAGCAAGTTTGACCAAGTCAAATTTGGTCAAATGAAAAAACAACACTTTGACTCTAGTATTATGAACTCTAAATGACTTCAAATTGAAAAGTTTTGAATACCAAGTTTGTTCAACTCATCAAGATCTACAATTGTTGTTTTGGTCAACTTTCCATTTGAGATAGTTTGGATGGTTCAAATTTGTGATTTTTAAATTTTGAATAAATATCCGGATAATATC